ACCCAGCAATGCTCAGGGGTTACTTCTGGCTCTGCACTCAGGAATTATTCCTGGTGGTGCTTGGGGGACCATATGGGATGCCAGGGATAGAACCAGGGTCAGCCTCATGCAAGGCAAACACACTACCTGCTATGCTATCACTCTGCCCATTCCCCCCTGCCTCCCCCAATCTTAACCTTCTATCACTTGGCCCAATCCTCTGCTTGGGCTGGTAGGTGGCCTGTAATTCCTGAGTTGGAAGCTAAAGATAACAGGACCCCCTCCAAAGGCTCAACCTCAAATCCTGGCAGGAGTGGTCTCCAGGGGCAGCTGGCATCAATACGACCACAGACGCTGACCCACCACGTGTGACCACCTCTTGCTTCTCTAACCACTGCGGCACATGCCTGTCCAGCCATCACCCTCCTTCTGATCTCCAGGGCCCTGGATATTAACCATCAAGAAAGTAACTGAGAAGCCAAAGCTGTCTTAAATCTGCTAAATCTCTTAAAGCTACAATGTCTGAAACGGCTTTTTCCATTGGAATTAGAATATGCGTCATATAGAGAGTAGTTCGCAACTGCCCGCCCACAGCTGCAAAGAAGTTGGAAACCACCAACATAGATCTGTTTGAATTTCTAGTTTAGAACCATAAAGGAACTTAATTTTAATTATATATTTTATTTAACACAGTCTACCCAACATTATCATTTTGACGTACAGTTAGTAGTCAAAAAGTATTAATGAAGCATATTATATTCTTTTCATACCGAGTCTTTAAAATCTGATGCCATTTCATGCCTACATACCCATTAGACTCATTCCATTCCTCCCATGGCTAGTGGCTGTATTATTATATAGCTGCATGTATAGGTTGCTCAAATCACTTTCACTCTGTGGAATTTTCTGCTGTCTATGTTACTGTAAAGTCTTTGTTTTTCAGTTGTTCTTGAATCATGTCAGTTTTTGAGAAAACATCCCAGAATAGTTGGTATAGTGGGAGTAACCAGGGGTTTGACTGTCCATACCTTAAGAAGTATGTTTAGGGGCTTAGAGTGATAGTACAGTGGGTAGGGCATTTGTCTTGCATGCAGCCTACCCAGGTTCGATCCCCAGCATCCCCTATATACCCTGAGCACCACTAGGAGTAACTCCTGAGTGCAGAGCCAGGAGAAATCACTGAGCATCACCAGGTGTGACCCAAAAAAGCAAAAAAAAAAAAAAAAAAGGAGGAGGAGGGGGAGGAGAAGGAGGAGGAGGGGGGGAGGAGGAGGAGGAGGAGAAGGAGGAGGAGGAGGAGGAGGAAGAGGGTGTTCCAATGTTCCCCTATGTTCCCATTCACTCATGTGCATGACACTCTGGATATTTAAACCTACCATATGGCTAACTTTGTATTAAATATTCATCATAGGGGTCTACAGAGCAGTACAGTGGATAAGGCACTTGCCTTGCATATGGCTTACCTGAGTTCAATCCCTGCCACTCCATTTGGTCCCCTGAACACACCAGGAGTGGTACCTGAGCACAGAGCTAGGAGTAAGTCCTGAACACAGCCAGATGTGGCCCAATGCCCTCCACCACCCCAAAAATAAAAAGGAATGAAGTGTGCAAATAAATGACCAGTGATGATCAGGGCTTACCACCACCCTTCCGCCTTGTCCTTCTCATGCCCACAGTGGCATTTTCTGAGAGCCACGTGGAACTCATGAGTTCAGCAGATAAGCCAGAGCTGTGGGGTCCCAGGACTTCTCCATGCAGACCCCTTTCCTTTGAACAACAGATAGCTAGCTCAGAGTATGCAGTTCATCTCCTCCATTTTAATCCTTATCATTTCCATATATTTCATTTGATCTTAAGTCCCTTGCAGCTCAGTACAGCTTTGAAAGCACAGGCCGCTCTCCAACCCTCACTAGCAGTTGCTAGAGAAAGAAACTCTTACTAATGAGGCAGAGTGGGTGGCTATTGATGCTGATGCGTGAAGGAGACAGAATTCTAAATATCAAATCCATTTAGAGAAAGCTTGTTACAGTTGAAGGTGAATGTGTTTCTCTGAGATAAAACCCTGCTATGCATTTATCAATCTCTGGAGGAGCCCTGGAAGATTCTCTGGGAGAAATTCCATTAAACTTTTGGATTTCTAAAGGCTAATAATGACATTTCTCAGAACAGAACCAGTGATTTCAAATGCTCCTTGCTAATGGGGTTTCTTGGATTACGAAACTCAAATTAGCATCTGTAATTCCTAAATATATATAAATATTCATAGCTTTGTGTGAATCTCAGTCATCTGTATGCAATCTATTTTCTCTTGCACCCTCCCCCACAATTTTTTTTGACAATTGTAAGCTCTTGGTAAGGTATTTGATCTTGAAAACACATGCAAAAGCGTTTCCATATCCATCTCTGACTGCTTTTTCTCCTTGTCAATTCCTAGTGGCGTTCTGTTCATGATAGGAAGCATAGTGAAGTCAAAAACAAGATTCCACCCAATGTAGGTAATAGCAGCATAGGGGCAGAGTTCTTGCTGAAAGTAAATGTAAATAAATAAGGGAATATCGAGGTCTGGTGCCAGGGAGAAGGGCATTGTGCAAGGATTGATTGCAAATTTACCATGGGAGCTCAACGTGAATCAATATATACTTCCTACTCATTCCAAGGGCTGGAGCGATAGCACAGCAGTAGGGCGTTTGCCTTGCATGCAGTCAACATGGCCAACCCAAGTTCGATTCCTCCACCCCTGTCAGAGAGCCCAGCAAGCTACCGAGAATATCTTGCCCACATGGCAAAACCTGGCAAGCTACCCATGACGTATTCGATATGCCAAAACACAGTAACAACAAAGTCTCACAATGGAGACGTTACTGGGCCCACTCGAGCAAATCAGTGAACAACGGGAGGACAGTGACTCATTCCAGAATCCATTCTCTGAGCCTCAATCCTGGGGAAGGACTGGGGACAGGAGGTGCTGTTGTCTCTCTGGAGAAAGATAGTTCCTAGGGAAGGGAAAGTGTGTGTCTAGATGTTGAAGAGCCCACCCGAGGATTCTCTCACTGAGGGACCACAAGGCCAGGAAGACTGCTCTGTTCCTTAACCCCCTTACTAAATGTAATTAGCACTTTCCCAATCAGTGATACAAAAATGCTCCCAGTCTCCAATCCCAGATATTATCGTCCCAGTTGAAATCCCCACAAACAGTAGAATAAGGTGAGACAAGTATAAAATTTTTCTTATATTCAGATAGCAGGGGTAGGGCATGTATGGAATTCACACTAGTAATTTATTAAAGCTTTATAGCACAGTAGGGAAAAAAGGAAAATATATTTTGATTTAAAGTGTGTATTTTTTTTTAAAAAAGGAAACTACTGTTCTAGGTAATATAACCATTTTTATCTGTGCTAATTCTAATCTATGAGCATGAAAACTTTTTCATCTCTTCTATTTCTTTCATGGGCTGGAGCAATAGCCCAGTGGGCAGGATGTTTGCCTTGCAAATGGCCAACATGACCGACCTGAGTTTGATTCCTCTGCCCCTCTCGGAGAGCCTGGCAAGCTACTGAGAGTATCTCGCCCGCACAGCAAAGCCTGTTATATATGTATGTATAAGAATAATCTGGTACCATAAAAGGAATTCTGCAATCTTCAGGTTATTTGTGAACAATTTTGTTCTAATGCATAGTAATAGGACTGTTCTGTATTTCAAAGAACTAAGAGGTTCCCATATGAAGAACAAGCATTCATTTCTTAGCACCAAAAACCGAATGTGTCCAGAGAGTTAGAGAAAATTAGAACAAAAGCTTGAATTTGGCTCCAGTTCCAATTCTTACTGTATTAGTTAATCACATAGCTTATTTGTCACTCTTTTAAGAGTCACAAAGGTAGTCATGAAGAAACAGCATGTATGAACCATATAAGTGCTGAGAACTTCTCCATTAGCAGTCCTCACAGTGTTTGTGTCAGATCTCTTAGCATCAGGCAAAATCCATCAACCCTTTCTTAAAATGATAATTTTCTGCTGATAATGCATAATATAAGAATTGTTGGGGGCTGGAGCAATAGCACAGTCAGTAGGGCGTTTGCCTTACACGTGGCCAACCCGGGTTCGATTCCCAGCATCCTATATGGTCCCCTGAGCACTGCCAGGGGTAATTCCTGAGCTCAGAGCGAGGAGTAACCCCTGTGCATTGTCAGTGGGCCCAGGGAGATAATACAGGGGTAAGTCATTTGCTTTGCAAGCAGCTAACCTGTGTTCAATTCTTAGCACTGCACATGGTCCTCCACGCCATTCCAGGGGAGTGATTCCTCAGCATCACCAGGTATGACCCAGACTATCCCTGCACACAGACACGCACACACAGACACACACACACACACACACACACACACACACACACACTCAAAAGTCTTAAGAAAAATAATAACCAATGGAAAAAAGTAATCATTGGAATCAATGAAAAAAGTAGTCAATGGGAAAAATTACCAAAAAGTAATCATTAAAATATTCTAAGAACAAATTTACAATCATGCAACGGATATATGCTTCTGCCAGTGCTTAAATAATAAGGATTTGGTGTCAAGAACTGCTATATGGCTTAGCAATAGAGCACTTTCTCTACGTGTGTGAAAAGAGAAGAAAAGAGAAAGCAGGGGTCAGGGGAGAAGGGGGCAGGGGAGGAGCGAGGAGGAGAGATCTAGAGCCAAGGCTAATAACTGGTTATTTCAGTCAGGGTCATCTAGGGCTGCAGTGTCAAAATCCACAAACCGGGCAGCCTAACAGAAGCTTCTTTTCTCTTTGTTCTGGAGGCTGGAATGCCCAGATCAGGGTGGCAGCATCATCTGGTTCCAGTGGGAATTCACCCAGCTTGCAGAAAGCCACCCATCCTTGTGTCTCGACCGGTCTTTTACTCAGTACAGCACATGCAGAGCAAGACGACTGTTCAATTGATGAGACACCCGCTGCTCTTGGTTACTTTCCAATGTTCCAGAGTATGTGTTCACCAACTGGACTCTGTTTTGTCTTGCAGACAGTAGCAACCAAGATGCCACGAAAAATGATTTCTGGAGCTCTGAGAACTTCTGGCTTAATCCTTCGATGGGCCAAGCCGAGACCAAGGCAGAGAATGACAGTCTTCGGAAATCTTTGGATAGGTTCTATGAAATGTTTGGCCCTCCGCAGCCTGCCTCTGGAAACCGACTCTCTGCAGCTGTCTGCCAGCACCTGACGCAGAAAATCCTCACTCTCAGTGACCAGGAAGGCCAGAAGTATAACCTCCGAAGGTTCCAGCTGGCCCGGGCCATCCTCAGCCAGGATGGCTGCTCTGTCTTACAGAGACACTCCAGAGACACCCATTTCTACCCACTGGGAGAGGGGAGTGTGTCTCTAGATGTTGAAAAGCCCACCCCAGGACTCTCAAAAGATATTCTGCATTTTCTCCTGAAGCAGGGTGTGATGAAAGATCCTTGATGGTGTCGGGAGTGAGAGAAGCAGCCGGAGGGGATGTGGGGTGACCTCAGGGCTTGGGCTGATGGTAGGGTCCTGCCAGAGATCCTGTGCTCACTTTCAACCCTGTGTCCAATCCCAGTGGGCCCAGCACGAGTCACTTCAGCCACCACAGAGTGAGCACTGTTGGAGCTTCATAGCACCCGCTTCCGGCTTCACAGCCCCATCTCCCTCCCCATCCTCCCCTCTCTGATTGAAGGCTAGTGATAGACTGGTTGGAGGGTCCATTCCTCCCCTCTGGATGAGTCAAGACAGGAAATTGACATGAATTTGCACCCTGGCATTGCCCTTGCCCTTTCCTTCTTCCCCCATCATTTACGGGGCTTTATTAAATTTCTCGCACCCACATACTTGACTCCAAGTCTGCCACTGGGCTCATCGAAGAGAGAACAGGCTTCCAGTTCCATGAGTTTTCGGAAGCATCCAAAACCATGGTGCTGACTCAACTCTAAGAATTGTATCACATTGTAAACTGCAACCATGTGATTGAAAACATACATCCCAAAATAATGGAAAGGATTTGCATCCAGACCCCAAAAGAACATCGCATCTTAATTATATCCTTTCCTCTCTCCAACGCCAGAATCCCGTTCTGTAATACTAATTGGATGCAGCAGAAACATTTGGACCATCTAAAATAGCAGCTACAATACGCAAATTAAAAAATAAAGAAACCTCTCCCGTCAGATTGCCAGTGTGAAAGGTGAGAAGAAAACAAACGTGTCCTCCTGCGGGGGACAGAGGGAGGCAGCACTCGGTTAGGCTGTGCCAGGCTGAGGCAGTGCCAGTTCTTGGTGGAAGAGAGAAAGGAATCCTTTTTTTAAAAAAATTATTGAATCACCGTGAGATAGTTACAAGCTTTCATGTTTGGGTTACAATCACACAATGATCAAACGCCCATCCCTCCACCAGTTCCCATTCCCCACCACCAATATCCCCGGTATACCTCCCCTTTCCCACCCTCCCTCTGTCTCCATGGCAGACACGATTCCCCATAATCTCGCTCTACTTTTGGGCACTATGGTTTGCAATACAGACCCTGAGAGGTTATCATGTTTGGTCCTTTATCTACTTTCTGCACACATCTCCCATCCCCACTGATTCCTCCAGCCATCATTTTCTTAGAGATCCCTTCTGTATTCCAGCTGCCTTCTCCCCTTTGCTAATGAGGACAGGCAATCCACCTGTCCTGTGTATCTACTATCAAGAAAGGAATCCTCTACCCAACCTCTCAGCTTCTCATTATTCTTGCCTCTGGTGCACTTGCCTGCCATCACCAACTATCACCCTCGGAAGGGTTGGCCCCAAACCCCGTACCAGCCTGGATTCTGGCACCCCGAGCTCTCCAGGCAGGCAGTGGCCCAGAACAGGTGCTTCTGGCCATTCTGACCAGCCCTCCAGGCTGAGCTCCGATTTGCCTGGGAATGGCTTAAAATAGTCGGTGCAAGCTCCGTGCTGGCAGAGGCTGTGTTCCATGGGTCATGCCCATCCTCCCTGTGAGTCGTGGTTGGGAGAATGACATCACCCACACCACCCACCGCACACTGTCAAACTGTGATGGGAAAGCTGCTGCTTCCTGCCTGGCTCCTCTGACACATCACGCTGCTGAAAGGGCCAGAGCACTTGTTTGGGAGAGCAGCGAGAGGAGCTGGAGGCACCAAGCAATGGATTTTGAGGAACTTTAGGTGACTTTTAGCTGACTTTAGATTTCATTAGCTTTCGAGAAATCATGTGATACAAACAGAGCAGCCTAAAAGTGAGGGGCCTTGTTCAGACAGGTCTCTTGGGGAGTCTTAGGTGGAGAAGGAAGCTGTTTTCAGGTCAGCAATTACACACTCGGGCTTCCAGTTCTGGGGAATCATGCTTTAAGTTGAAGTGCAGGGGGCATAGTACAGCGGCTTGGTCACTTTCCTTGCAGCGGCCGTTTCATCTTCCATCTCCAGTACCCCATATGGTCCCCCGAGTGCTGCCTGGAGTGATCCCTGAGCTCAGAGCCAGGAGGAAGCCCTGAGTACTGCCAGGCGTCGCCCCAAAACCAAAATAACCAAATAAACTGAAGCACAGAAGCAGCACCACCGGCAGGAGATTAAATTAAATCATAGAAAGTAGGAAATAAGTAGGTCTGGGACAGACACAAGACTCCGACTCTCCTCTGACAAGCAGTCACCCCATCTGCCATTCACATCCTTCTCTTCTTCATCTGCCTCATGGGTACCAAAGAATTGAAAAGTTGTTGAGGGGCCAGAGTGAAAGTACAGTGGGTAAGGCACTTGTCTTGCACACAGCTGACCCTGGTTGATCCCTGGAATCCCATAGGATCATTCGAAACCTCCAGAGTGATCCCTGAGTGCAGAGCCAGGAGTAAACCCCGAGCATCACTGGGTGTGGCCCCAAAGGAAAAAAAAGTCAGTGAGACTTAGAATTGAAAAGCTGCAGTTGCATTTTAAGCTCTCTACTTTCATTGTTCTCTCTCTTTTTTTTTTAACTCTATAAATTTGGGAGTCATACTCAACAGTGCTCAGGAACTGCTCCTGAGTGAGGTGCTCATAGACCGTCAATGCTGGGTGGGATCAAACCCAGGTCTCCAACATACAGAGCGTATGTTCAGCCCTTTGAGCCCTTCTCCTTTTTAAAGTTTTTTTTTCCAAGTAAAACAAATCAGCAGGTGTCCTTGAGGATATACTGTTGTTTTGATTACTATTCTGTGACTGAAATGTTGGAGATTAGTTTCCATGGCTACCCAGGAAAGGAAAGTGGATTATTTCCGTCTTTTTAAAGGACAAACAGCACAAACTATATGAGTCTCCGTGCATGGAAGCCCCAGATTGTATTTGGCAGTGAAATGTCGTTATCAGTAATTGTGTGGTCTTTATTAATATCCGTGCTGAGAGCACTCTGCAAACAGTAGAGTCTGAAGCTAGAGATTTAGAAGTCTAAAAGCCAAAAAAGCCTTAACGGTGGGAAAAAAAAATGCATGGTGTGTGTTGGTTTGACTCTGCCTAAGTGCTAGTGACAGCTCAGGACAAGAGATTTGATTCCCTGTAATCTTGCTCCTTAATTTGATCTTTATAAGGTTTATGGGGGCACTTTCCCAATTATCTCTGCTCACCTTTCATAAAGACTAAGTAATAAGGACCTTGAGGCTCTGACCTTTGGCATTATTGTCCAGTTCTACCCTGCAGATCACATCACCAACATCTTATTACCATCCCCGGGGCTCTGACTGGCCTTTGCCCCCTTTCAGAGGCCTTTCCAAGGGTGGCTTTGCTTGCAGGTGCATCAGGATTCATGGTTTTAAGTTTTTGTAAGTTGTTTGGTTCATCAGAGGACTCAGTCTTCTCCAGCCAGCGTCTGTTCAGAGAAGTGTGTTAAGTTGATTCAAATGATAGTCTCTTTGGGATAAATGATTCTCTTTCCACATAGGCTACTAGCCCAGAACCAGGTAACCCACTGGTCTTACCTCCCACTGCTTTTTACTTAATAACCTGACAGCTGTGCATTGGAGACAGAGATTTTAGCAGCAAACAAGGCATGCATTCTCCAAATCTACCTGGCTGTCCACTGACTGGAACATTCACAGGAGACATGTGGATTAGCGCCTCTCTTCTTATTTCCTCTCCTGCCGTCTTCAGCTTTTGCAGCTTACTGCCGAATGCCTTATAACGCTTTATTATTTTTTGAAGCCATAAATCACATGTATTCTAATATGAAAGTGTTCTGGTTGCTTTATTTATTTATTTATTTATTTTGGCTTTTTGGGTCACACCCAGCAATGCTCAGAAGTTACTCCTGGCTCCGCACTCAGTAATTATTCCTGACAGTGCTCAGGGGACCATGTGGGATGCTAGAGATTGAACCCGGGTCGGCTACATGCAAGGCAAATGCCCTCCCTGCTATACTATCCTTTGGCCGCTCTGGTTGCCTTTTCAGTGTCCCCTGAGGTTCTAATCAGTATTTACTGCATTGCCTCTAGAAGGTGTTTTGCCCATTTGGATGTAAGGTACAGATTTCTCCAGTGCTTAGTGAAAATTCCTGGCAGCAAAGATACAAAGCAAAACCCTGCCCTGACTTTCACATTTTCTCTCTTCTGTTCTTTCCCACTTCCTCTCCTATCCCATCATGTATTTATGGATCTCCTTTATCTTAAAAAAATAAATAAATAAATGCACATGCTCATACACATGTCCACATGCAATAAAACGTTCATTGAATCTGTCAGCTTCTGTCCATATCACTTCTTCCCTTCATGCCTATCTTCTGAAAAGAACTAGAAAAGACACAAGATGCTAGAATTTGAAGGCAAGAGGACCTCGAGATCTGTAAGGTATGATTTGGACCAAATGACAACAGGTTGATGAGATAGTGACATTCCTGAAATCGAAGATGACCCTGCCCCCTCCAGCACGGAAGACAGGGCTCATGGCCGATCCCATTGGGCCTGGCAGCCCACAGGCTATATTCTATGCTTCCTTACCAAGTTTACCACCCCCCTCTGGTGTTTGTTACCTTTCCCGCCCAACACTAATTAAAATCCTGATTAGCTCTACTCCAGCCTTACCAGAGGCCCTTACAGTCAACTCGGGAGTGCACCTCAATAAACTCCTATTTCTTCACTGTACTCATCTCTATCCTTCTGTCTGTGCCGGGTGAGGTCTCAGACCTATCAAGATTCAGCTCTGCAACTGTGCATTGTGCATCCCAACACATGTCTCTCTGGACCTGCATTTACTTGCCTGCCAATTGCAGATAATTATTACATCTCAGAGCCTTTATGAGGCTCTCCTAAGTGAGTGACTTCAGTATATTCATAAATGAAGTGTACCTGGAAACACTGGAAATTGTACATAGTGATGGAATTGGGAGGGGTGTGTGTGTGTGTGTGTGTGTGTGTGTGTGTGTGTGTGTGTGTGTGTCCCACTGTTCCATCCTCATGAGTTTCTTAGCCCGTTCTAATCTGCACCCCCACCCCCATTCCTCCACTTGCTCCTCCAATAAAGCGCCTCTCTAGCATGACTATCAGTAACAGTTCCTAAACTTATTTGGCCTACCTCCCTGTTTTAAGGGAGAAAAATAAAAACACTCAAAAATCTACCTTCTTTAAGTGAACAGAGAGAAAGTGCCCAGATGCACCTGAGGGTACCACAACTCCCTCCCCTGGATTTTTCCAGTGACTCCCAGGGTGTGTATCACCCACTTTGAACACACTGGTCAGCAGCAAGCACCTCACCAATTCCCAGACAGACCCATTATGTTCAGCTGCAATAATCAAACAGGAGGGGTAGGATGGACTGGGGCATAGTCACACGGATGGGCTCCCTGGCAGCTGTACAAAGAATGAGTACGTACTCTGATGGAAATATCCAGCTAGTGCTGGCACAGGTGTAGAAAGAAAGGGATTCTCATTCACTGCTGGTGGGAACGCTAATTGATCTAGCCTTTTTGGAGAAAATAATGTAGACATTCCTCAAAAAACTAGAAGTTGAGCTTCCATGTGACCCAGCAGTACCATTCCTGGAAATATGCCCTAAAGGCCCCAAAACACAATACAGAAAAGTCTCATCTGCCACTGCTATGTTAACTGCAGCACTATTCATAACAGAAGGAATTTGGAAACAACCCAAGTGTCTGAAAACACATGATGGGATAAAGAAACTATGGTACATCCACACAATGGAATGCTATGCAACCATTAGGAAAAATAAAATCATGAAAATCACGCACTCGTTTTCAGGATATATATGGAGTGGATTCGGGAAACTGATTTTCAGATTGAGTG